ATAAACTCAAACTATTTTATAAAGCATGAATCAAAACCTGAATAAATGCCGATCAGCCTGTCATATGACCAATTATGAGCCACACACACACAGAGGGAAATAGTTGTGCACACTAACAGCAAAACGCTAACATGTTAGCATTGAAGCTCCTCACTCCACACAGAAAGACACAAAGTTTCCCAAACTAAACTGCAGGGTGACACCATGAAAACATCAGTGTCTGAAATCCTTCTTTAAATGAAGCTTCACTTCAACTTCAGAGAAGTCTGTTAACAACTTGTTAAATGTGTTTTCTGCTGACATCTAACTAGATCTTTACTGCACAGTCTCAGTGTTTACAGAGGATCCAACACACGCCTGATGTACTCGACACTGGAATATGTTAGAGAAAAAAAAGTTTAATAAATAAATCAATTAAAATGTTTTAAAACCTAACCTATCAGTGACCATGGACCTGCACCAGTCCAACATAGTCCATCACTGGACACCGACCCACAGCACTGATAAATACCCAGTTTAACATCTTCTAGTAAAGTCAGTCACACTGAAGAATCTGAGCTTGAACAGCACAGAGTTAAAAACACGTCCATACCTTTGATGTGTGAGTTTCTGTCGGGTTTCCGGCTGATATCCAGCAGTCTGTGCTGACGGTTGATCTCCTCCTCATACTGGACGATGGTTTTTTGAACCTCTGAGAAGATTTCTTCACAAACAGCAGTTAGTCTCTCCTTGATGAACTCTCTCAGATACTGAGCTGAACTCATCGCTGCTTCAACTGGGGCTGAGCGGATCGATACAAGCATCGATGAAGCGATACAGGTATTGCTATCAGATCCACACTGATGTGATGGGATCAATACTTCAGTTTGTGTCTCTCCTCCAAGTTCAGTTCGCTTCATCAACAGCAGCCATGTCTGCACACACACCGCTCCTCTACCACAGTAGTGCTGTCCTCCTCCGTTCTTCTTCGGGGCCTGATGGCGTTTGACAAATCAGCTTACAGGTGCATTAATCCCGCCTATTGGACTGGAGTGTGGACAGGAGAATAGCAGGAAAAACAAGGATAATTATATTCTTTCATCAATTTTATAATTCAATAGTATAATTTGCCATTTACTGCTAAAATTGTCATTTGTGCTGCTTCTGTTTTAAAGATATTAATGAAAATGTAAAGGTCAAAAGATCAACCAGTCCCTCCACATTACACAAATCAAACTAAATTGATGTCAAACATTTGTGCTACGTTTTGTGCTGCAACATATTTTGTTTGTGCTGCTATCATTTAAAATATATTAATAAAATAAGGTCTTGATGCGTGCTTAATGATCAAGGTAAGTAAATCTCAAAAGGTTGATTCTGTTCATCAGACAGCTGGGCCAGTATATCGCTGACCTGTTGAAACCTCATGCTTCATCCCGAGCACATAGTTCTTCAGGGCAGAAGTTACTGTTGCCCCCACGTACTAGGTTCAAAACCTGTGGGGATCAGGCTTTTCAGGCACCAAGGCTGTGGGACTCTCTATCGTTGTCGTTACGCTGCCAAGACTCCACTACAAACGAACTTATATTCAGTAAAGGGACTAGATGTTGTAGTCCTTGATAATGCTTCTGATTGAATTTAATCTAATTGTGAAGCACTTTGTGATTTTTATCTGTGAAAAGTGATATATAAATACATTTTATTTAATTACTTGTATTTTATGTGGCAGCATGTTTTAGAGTCGGATGTCTTTATCTTGCTGAACCACATCCCTACAAACACTCATCAGAGATCCGTTTCTCAGTATTTTAGCACTCTTCATCTCCCTACAGGCGTATTTATCGCTGTTGTAGCTGAATCTGGTTCCACTCACCGAACGACGACCGTCTGGAGACGATTTTATGATCACTTTAAATCCGTCCTCGTGTCTCGTTGTCACGGTTACACTGCGCTCACTGTCCGTTTCCTCCACATTACAGGTTTACTTTCACTCTGCTTGTTGTTCTCCTTTTCCGCTTTGTTTTCTGTTTGTTTGTCTTATTGTGTTTATCTTATTTCACCGCTACATCGCTCACCATCCACTTCTATTCTCATTTCACTTCCTGAGACGTCACTTCCCTCTGCAGTCTGCTGTCCATTCACAGCCCGTTAGGTCAACTTAGAGCCCCTCCCCCCTACACTGCTGACTGAGCAGACACCTTTGTTTGTTTGTTTGTTTTTTTGGTTTACAAAACTTATAGAGACAGTGTAAAGAGGCCCGTACAACAAATCTGCGACATGTTGAAAGACACTTGCTTAACCTTATTATTGATACAATATTTATCACAGGTCCTCCATCATTCTGCTGCTGTATGTCATTAAATTTTTCTTTCAGTCTCTCTGCTCATTTTGCTCCAGGTTCATTTGTGTGTAATCATTTTCTCACATATGAATTCAGATCAGACTCACTGAGCTCAACATGAACTTCCTGCGAGCAGAAACTAAAATTAGCGCAAAAACAGCAGGAATATTTGAAACATGGTGGATGTGTTGCAGACGAGTAGGAAGCAGAAATATCTGCCTAAATTTTATTGGAGTTTTATTATTTGTATTTTAAACCATAATGTTTGCTGATATCATGCCCCTATTGTTTGCTCTCATCAATGTTCTGTTTTTAACTGCTTTTCACTTCTGGTCCAAGTATTCTTCAACTAAACATCAGAAACCTTTATTCTAAACTAGTTTTTTTTTTAAAGCATCAGATACAGAGTAACTATCTACCATGATTTTAATGAATCTTCTGGCAACAGATTTTAGATTTTATTTGTTCTCCTCCAAAGTCTGGATTGTAAAACTGAAAAGCCTAAGAGGAAAATTCCTGCCAAAAAATTCTTCTGAAATTCAAACAAAGCAGTTCAAGTAGTTATCAAGTAGAAACCTTTCATCTAAAAATGGCTTTAAATGATTTTACTCTAAATACAATAACTGGTTGTTAGTAGCACGATTACATAATCATAAAAATGCCCTTAAATGTAAGTACAGTTTGAATCAGTGAAATATTATTTTCACACATCAATGGACCACTGAACTTCTCAGCTTCTAAAATGTAAAGCCTCATTTAGAAACTACACAAGTACAGTGGGGCAAAAAAGTATTTAGTCAGCCACCGATTGTGCAAGTTCC